GAGTTTTGAAAATTTACTTAGTAAGTAAGACACATATGGGTCTTCATTTCTATTGCTAAGTGAGCATGAGAATTTAATGTGGCCTCTTATGGTTTCTAGGATTTTAAACACTCCTATGTCTACCAATATTATTTAGATTTTGATGCGAAGGAATGTTTTCACCTCAGGCTAGGCAATCCCGTGCCTGACAGTGCATTAAATTTTTTGTTGCAGTCAGATCCATTCTCGGTTGCATATCAACATTCTGGTGACCCACGTTGGGCGGACATACGATACTTGTTCAAAGAGGTCTATGAAGCCACATCCAATGCACCGGTTGTGTTGGACCAAAATTCCACCAACGAAAATGATTTAGCGCGGTTGACCGAACAGTCCTACGTCTTCTCACTTTCTTCTCTCACCAATGCATCATTACATGGTTCTATCGGAAATGATTGTATTCAGCCAAGACGTGCCCGAGAACGTGACGCTTCATCCGAAGCATCAGTGAATACACATACACATGTGGAAATTCCAAGGCGGGGTGGTGGGACACCATTGCGCATTCCCCGACCACCACGTAAGCCGACACCATTGTCATGCAAAGGGTCTTCTAGTGACCCACCAATCTGAATTCACGTCATTTTGTTTAAGTACCGTACAACATTTAGCTTATCGTATTTCCTTATTTTGTGTTTAGTGATTGGCATCAAGTAATGTTGTGTTGTCTGTTCCGTGTGGTTGTTTTAATAAAATCCTGCTTCTTAACTTAAACTTCATTTAAACTTCACTTGTGTTATGAACAATTGTTGACCAACTTTAAATCCGCGTATGTCAAGTGAACTTTACTTTTTGTTCCATTGGATATGGGACTTGGTATGGTGTGGTTCATACACACTGCACGATGGATGTATTTTTATGGAAAAGTGGTGATCTCATATTATCCTTTAATGTAAAGTTGTCATTTGTTAATGTTATATTGCTGAATAAAATGCTACAATCTGTACGTGTGTGAACGAGAAATCAGAGTATCAACTAAACACTTAACCCAACTTCTTTAAGTAGTAGCAAAATTCACATTACACTTAACACAAAACATAGTGACACTTATAATTATACATAATAATTATACAAAATAGGGTATCCATGATCCCATCCCCCTTTACATGCCACAACAAAAGTATTAAATAGGCACCAAAGAAACAAAAAATTTGGGAGATTCATAAACCAACAAAAAAGTAATTCATATGCAGCCTACTTAAGAAATATGCACACTACATACATATGCAAAATACATACTACGTAAGGTTAAAAGCATTAATTATATGCTCGGGGCCAAAATACCAAAAAGAACTCTAAGCCTATCCCGAACATTTTTTTCTCTTCACAGGGAGTCGACACAGGAATCCACATCCGACTCGTGATCCATTAATTCCTGATTGTCGTCTACGTTGAACTGCAGATCCATAGGAAGTGGAGCATCATGAATTGGGCTTCCAACGTGCTGCTCAACCTCATATTCATCAAATGCATCCTCCATGCCTTCGTCCGACCACACATATGAGATAGTATCATCTAGACAAATTGGATTCTCATTATTCGCACCTGGGTTAGATTGGACGTCCACTTCAGCTGCACCGCGAAGGTTCCACAACTGCACACAATGATTGTACCATTTGAAGCCATTCCAACGAAAAAACACTTCCATATCGGACTCCTGCAGATGTTGTACAACATTTTTTTTGGTTAATTGGTCCAAATGATAATAATCCATTTACAGGCCCATTTCTAAGAACATATAATAAAATAAATTATATATACCTCTCCGACGACATTCCAATACTCTCTGTTGATGCTAACCAAACCGCCGTCGTCATGAACTCGTACTCCCGGTATGGTCAGGTAGCGAAGGAATTCACGGTAATGGCTTTGAAGACAATGGATTTTCCCCCGCACCTTAATCCACGAGAAATCCTTTTGCATGAGGTCCGATAGCTGATGCGATATTTCGAACCACAGGGAATTCAAGACTGGAGCCCTGTCGATGTCGTCCGTTTCAGCACAAATCTGAAAAAAGAGGCGATAACAAACTTTCTCTTCGTGCTCCGTCCACCCCTCCAACCGAAAGCGGCGACCAATGTTCTCCAGGCTCGTCGTCCGATCCATGACGCTCATGCATGTACCTGGTATGTTGAAACAACAATAAAAGAAATTATTATTAGGAAATAAAATATATGTATAATACATGCTGCTATTAAAAATGAAGAGAGGAAATTTTCTCTTAAACCCACAAACTGCGTTTCTGAACTTTGTCGTTGTTGAAGAAGTGCCATGCACAAACCATGTAATTATATAGCGTGTGAGTATATCATACCATGACTTCATCACATCATTTATTTTGGTAGCTACCAATCAAGTCAGTTAATAAATGGAAATTCATCATTTGCCTTGCCTTGCGTTAGTTGAGTGTGTAAATTTGCTTCACATTTACAGCCGCAGTAAATGTGTGTAGTTGGGTGATAATCCTTTCTTTTTTCTCAATGTTTAGTACATACATATGAAGAGCAGGTAGTTGGTTTGCACAAATTTTCCTGATTTATTTGTGAGAAAACAAAACCAATTTTATACATTCTTTAATATTTAATTTTATTCTCTCTTATACAAAATAATTTTACATTTTTTAATATTTAATTATTAAGTATAGTGTATCCTCTCCTAATTTATAATTATTTTTTTTGCTTTCCTATTTTGAAATAGTATTAATAATAATTTCCACTACCGTCATTTATTGACAAAAACTCAAGACCTATTTATAAATATGTTTTACATTTTTTTATAGGGAAATGCTACCATCCCGTTATGGTACCATCCCGTCGGTTGTTTTAACCGTTACATCTACGTGTAGTTAGATAAGATCGATGATCCAACGGTTAAAACACCCGACGAGATGGTACCGTAACGGGATGGTAACATTTCCCTTTTTTATATTTTATTTACCTTTCAAAGTTCAAATAAGATAGACTTGCGTGTGGTGCGAGATAAAATATTAACGGTCACATTTGAACGACCTCTGCGAAGTACAACAAATTCCACAAACCGGACACAAATTCCTCGCCACAACAGAACACCATATCCTTGTACGAAGGCCCCATTCCAGCGATTTCACAGGTACATACTTTGAGAAGGTGACTTTTCTCGTTTGTTAAACTGCATAAGTAAAAAGGTTAGGGTTCTTCACTACGCGATAATGATTTAAGTTCGCTAATTTAGGGATATGTGATTTTGGGCATCACGTAAGTCTGATGTAATTGAAAATTTGGGCATTTGTTGTGAACTAAGGTCTCTGATTTTGGGAATAATGGTTTGTCAAGTGTTTGAATGTGGATGGTTTGTCCGATATTCTTGCCAACAGAACAGATTATGCGAATTGGTGTTCGAAATTAAAGGGGATTTTGTTTTTTGTTGCTGGGGATTGTAGTCTTCTCGAAGAAATTATGGTTTTTGATTTCGCAAATGTATGTGTCCCCTCGATTTCTATCCGAGTCCGGCTGAACTTCTATCTGAAATTCATTGTAATTTAATGTTCACTCTTTCTTTGTGTTTAATGTCGTTTAAGATTTTAGTTGTCCTCCATTGTCTTGTGCTTATGTTTTACTTGAATGTTCGGAAAGTGAAATTTTGATAAAAGTGACATGTTAGCTACTAAAGCCCACCACTATATGTATTCAAAAAGATGCCATGTATGTATGTCTTCCTCCAATGCGTTCTCTGTAAATTGTGGGCTGAATTAATATGATGCCACAAATATGCAACATCCACGTAAATGGCACTTACATGTCGGCATTTCAGTATATAGTGGATTAACCCTATGTAATCTTTCGTAATAGGCTACTTACATGCCATGGTTTTTCTATATGATCTTCTGAAGTAAATGTGAATAGTCAGTTGTTCAGTAATAAATATACAGTTTTTAAGAATTTTTTTCTCTTGCGTTTGAAAGGTTTAAAATGTCCCAAACTTCAACCACCTCAAATTTTGGAAGACCAAGTACACTCAAGTATGAGGAAAAAATATGTCACCATTGTGGAATGAAGCTCGGCGTTAAGATTGTTGGCTCCCTAAGTTCGAATTATCAAAAACTGTATTACGCTTGTCAAAGAGATGGATTCGTTGGTTGGGCTAATCCTATAAATAAAGACCAAGTCCGCATAAGAGAGGACGTTAGCATAAGCGACAACGTTGGAGTGCATTGTCAAAGCAACAAAGATGTGAAAATTAGAAATAAAATTGACAAGATCTATGATTTATTACTTCTAATATTGGTACTTGATTGTAATGCTTGTTGTTATTGTAATGAAATAATAAGAATGAGTATTTGTATTAGTTGGACATGAGTAAATCACTTATGATGAAAGAATGAATGGACATTTCATGTAATTATAAAGTCTGAAGGCTATTATGAACAATGGTGCCATAGGTTCATATAGTATTTTGTAGTGGCTCTTTAACAGGGAAAATATTCAATATGACAGTTTTATGTCACAATTCCATAGTTTACAGTTTTATGTCACAATTACCGTTACACAAATATATTCAACATGCACAGTTTGGTGTCATTGCACAGTACACAGTCATCCATCTTTAGGCAAAGTTGTTACATTATAAAAGAAAGTAAAAAAAGCACTAGGGAGTACATTAACAGGCATTGAACTTATACATCATGATGAATTAAAAGTCGGTCCACATTGCATATATCCAACCAACATAGGCAAAGCAACAATGAAACGGTAGTTTAGACTGTCACGAATCCTAAGGATTACATCAACATCCATAAAACTTATATACATTACCCAACGTTTATATAAGTATATGGACCAGAACAAAATGGCTAACACGGGCATCGTTCAACCTCGTGGCTTCACATCCACGTACATAAGTTAATAAAGCTGATCAAGTTCACATTACAAAAAGACAAAAGGCATGTTGACGACAATATAAACATATCCCTGCGGGTTTTCTTACTAAGGTGACCCGCTCAATATTTGGTGCACCATCGAGCACCTTCCATCATCGTCGAGGCTGAAAAACAGTTCCATCTCGTCCACGTTTTTGGATAAGTACCGAGCAACAGCGACCCTTTCATCCGTTGTTAAGTTAGGAACTTGTTTCAAGGCATCATAAACGGCAATTCTTTGGGCTTTGGCATCCACTTGGTGACCGACACGTTGTTTAGTATATTTTTGGGCATGTGGTAACCGAGGTACCCGACTCGGGTCGTTCTCAAAGGAAGGCTCTTCGGAGCTTCGTCCACTATCTAGTCGTCAAAA